AATAAGTAGTTGAATTACAGAGAATAACGAGCTAAGTAATAGCTATTTACTTCCAGTCTTTTATTAAACATTTTTCTTTCTAAAAAAAATAAACTGTTTAAAATTACTTTTAAGTGTTAATAATTATGTTTACTCTCAAAATAGATACACACATATTCAAATATTACTGTTATTCTTTCTTAATTTGTTTTATGGTCTAAGTAACTTATGCAATCATTCGTTTTAAATGAAACGCCCCTTATCCTTCCCTTAAGCTCCAAGTTAATAACCCCTGAATGAAACCATCACGAAAGCTTAACGTGGTGCCCGATAATTGAGTAATGACCGCCACATTACATCTCACGAGTCACGCGATGTTAAACCGACTTTTTAACTTCACTATTAACTGGATATTATAAAATGCGAAAGTCGAAAGTCTTTTAAATAGTAAAAGGTTTGTTGTAAAGACATACGAGAAAAATAAATAAATCAATGCGACCATAAATAATGTTGATGGGGACAAGGCAAGGGTTAAGATTATCATTCACTAGCCTATCCCCACTGCTAAGGGCATAGGCCCAAAATCAAATCAGATTGGGGCATGATTCTCGATAGTATCACGATCAAAGTTTTACTTATCGTTAGCTTATTTTTGCTTCCAATCCGGTTTAAAAGAAGTCGTTTTATTGTATGAAGTGTCCATACATTCTCCTTTGTCTGTTTTCTGTGGTTTTTTAGCAGGCCTACTATGAATTTAATCAAAATGCACTCAACGTTCAATTGCATTGGGTTCAACCCGATATATTAAACATATTACATCGATTATAGTTCCGTGAAGCTAATATTTTTCATCCCTCTCCAGCACTACATAAGCCCTACGCTACTCCTGAAATTTTTCTTGGATATGTAATTTTCTCTTAACCGTTAAAAATGTATATGTTATAAAGAATGTATCGTATACATTATCTTATACAAAAAAAGAATGCTGGTGAATAGTAATATATAATACATAAAATAGTATTTAGAAAATCGGCAATATAAGTTATTTTCTTTTCTTAAAAACATCGTAGTAAAATCTAAACTATTCGTCCAATTTATTTGGTATAACAGTCAATTTTAATGTACATTACGCTTCTTTGAAGACAAGCATATTTATTTTGACAAGGACCTACTCAAATAATCGTGTAAAAACGGGCATAGAAAAAAAAATACACTTTTATGAGTTTTTTTATTACTTTTGTGGCAAAAATCCTTAGCACATAGATATGTGCCATCGTGTATTTACTTTATAGATAATTAAAAGCTCTCCAACTTTTCTTATAAGGTCTTCGTATATCTCTAACTGTTTAAGCAGCGATCATAAAAATAGGCACCTTTGTAGGTACTTCTATGGAACCTTTAGTGTGATAAAAAGTAGCCTTGTAACGGTGTGCCATGCCACCGTTTGTTTTCCTAGGTTTCAGTATGCAAACTTTTTGTTTTTGAAATTCAACATCATTTCATTTTATTATTCGTCTTTCGTAATTTAAAATTTTGACTAATCAATTAGACTCTTTATGGATGTCAGTTCGTAAGAAATTCTCCTATGCACAAGATGAAATTATAATACAATACAATATTAATGGTATAAATTTTACTATGTAATTTTAACATAATTCATTTATTGTGATAAATAATGTGATATGGTGATACAAATTATATAACATATGTAACTACTTAATTGTAATCTGTATTTTGGACGATCCAAAAGTTAACTAGAAGCCCGACAAGGGTTTTTCTTATTACCCTTATTTAACTAATAAATATATACTCAAGCTAAGCAGCCTTATTAATTGACCCAAGTACCGAACCCGTAACAGCCTATATGTTAATACAGACTTAAAATTGACTGAGTACCAAATTTCAATAAAATCCGTTTCTGCAGTTTTTGCGTGAAGACTAAACAAAGATCCAAACCTACAAACTTTCATCTTTATAATATAAGTAGGATTTTCATCAATTCATTATAGTTTTACTAAAACTCAAAACATAAGTAATATGAAAAGAAAATCTGAAAAGCGCCCTCTGTCGCATTAATTTTACAACAAAACCCCAGAAAGTACTATTATTCGTTGTATCTTGTTGGTAGGTATTGTAGTCATCTGGTTCATGCACCCTCTTGTAGATGTCGCTATTAATGATAAAATGTTTTCATCGTGCTTTCCTAAATAAGATTAAATTGTACGATAAAATGACTCATCTACACATGTTTTTTAAAATAATTTAATACTTATATTTGTTATATTATTTAAATAATTATTCGTTTTGTTAGTTTAAATAAAAAGAACCTAAACGCGTTATCTATTGTAATTATTTAAAATCAAAATCCCCATTTTAAGAAAGTAAGTAGCGGAGTTCATGCACTTTGTTGTAGATGTCACTGATTGGATATGTTCTGTTTTCATCATGTAAGTAATTAAACTTTCCTAAACAAGACCGAATATTGAATAAAAATTATGAAATAAAAAGCTTGTCAACGCATGTTTATTTTATGTGACCAGTTTAGTACATTTTTTTTATTTTAACCCAAAACGTATTATTCCTGCTTTATAATTTGAAAGTAGAAACTTTTTGTCTTTACTTTTGAGAGGTTATCGTGTCTTAAATAACTTATATACATAAGAGATGTCGCCTTAATCGGAACTTATTATTTAAAAGTGCTACATATCTCATAATATATTACTGTTAAAATACAAAATTATGTTTCATAGTTAACTTTTAGACACAATAGGAGATCGGACAACTTTCTAAAAAGTATTTTGAATTAATTATTATGGGCGCTTATAAACAAAAAGTAAATATATATAAATAAATCTCATTATGGTACCAAAACTGTTACAATTTAACTGTTTAAAAAACCGCTTAAACGGATACTTGGATCGAGGATTGATACGAGGACGTGACGTCATTTGTGGGGTAAGCAAATGGATTTCCAGTGAAAAAAAAAATTAAGTACTTTTATTTAAATCCTCAAATAAATGAAACATAAAACTGATCCTTGTAACATGTTAAAATCAAATAGATCGCAAAAAATATTTTGCACTTTGTAATATTACAGCCAGATGCAGAAACATCCATTAAAATTTCCATTAGTTTATAGTGACATTACCCATACAAATTTGACATTCATTAGAGCTTAAAGGCGTCATTAAATTTTAATGGTCGTTTGTGCAACTGACCGTAAGTCAATAAAACTAAATACAAACGCGATAAAACAGTTTAACAGCTCGTTGCACAAACGTCCATTAATGTTTTCATTAGTTTAAAGCGACATGACCCTTTCAAATTTGACATTCATTAGAGCTTAAAGGCGTCATTAAACCTTAATGGACGTTTGTGAAACTGACGGTAAGAGTTGTTTTATTTATGTATGGTGCGCGTGAAAATATAAGAAATAATCAATTTTTTTTTATTTAATTACTGTCCGATCCGTTGAACAACTGCTCTTTTATCTGCCTTTCTTGAATATACATACAATACATATTTATATACCAACAAAAAGAATTTTCATTTCTATCGATGATTTCACATCCCTAGCTTTGACGTCACATTCACATTACAGCTACCTAACAATCGCAATTATTTGAAAACCTCTAATTTAGTACCTACAGGGAAACTTTTAATTTATTCTTTGAAGCAACAACTGATTGCAAATTGTTTCTCGTTTCGTTGTTCCACGCTTGTTGGCTTAATCTACTCTGGAGAAAAAAACCACAATGTTTTGTTTTTAGTTGATGTTCTGCTTCCAGAATTTTATTTTCCAATTTTTAATAAACGAAACGCAACAGAAACGAAATATTAATATTGAGAAAATTAAATTCGCTCTATGGCGTAGTGGCTAACGCGTTCGAACTGCGATGCGGAAATTAAGCAACTTTCGGAAGGGCTGGTTATAGGACGGGTGACCGTTAATAGATTATCTCAAACTCCTCCCTTTTTTCAGAATTTTAAGCTGTGAAGCCATTGATTCCGGCATCTGTAATCTTTTTCTTTTATTTTTTTATTTTTAGTGCCCGGCCTTACAGTCTATGGCCGGGCGTTCCTACTTGTCCCCACTTTATAGCAGGCCCTTATGATTCTCTAATTTTCTCTTTCATTCCAGTTCTCACTTTTGTTCTAACGTTCATTCCGCATACTTAATCTTTCTCATATTCTTCCTCTTTCATACTTTCGGCTGGGATTGCCGGTCCTATTCTTTCTAATCTAATTCTTTATTTTCTTTTCTTTCTTTATTTACAGGGTTTAACTCATACGCAGTGTTTGTTTTTATTATCATAAAAGTGTCTTAGCCTATTTTACAAACTTTCTTATTTCTATTACATTCTCTTATTCTTTTCTTCTTACTTTATTTACATTGTTATTTTTCCATAATCCATTCGTCTTATCCTATTACATATACTTATGTTTTAATTACATTTTCTTGTATCTTTTCCTATCGGTTTACATTTGTTTTGTTATCCTGCTTATACATCTCTTATATTTTCCATCCTGGTTCTTATTCTATGTTTTCTTATTCTATTACATTTTATTTTTGCTTATCCTATTTGTTATACATACTTTCTTTTCAACTTATTCACTATATTGTCTATTATTAGACTATATGTTTACTTTTTGGTTAACACTGGTGTATTTGTGCTTAGTACTTTGCTCTTTTATACTTCTTCCTATTTATTATTTTCCCTATCCTATTCTTCCTATTTCTATCCTTTTTTGTTGTTTTTTCCTTTTTTTTAGTCTAATCCTATTTTAATTCCTATTTAATATCTATTTTTATTATTCCTATTTTAAGGTTACTGTTAATATATTTTTAAATATATGTAGTATTCCTTTTTCTTTTCCCATTTTTATTTATTCTTCCTTATTTATTTGGTCATATCTGGTTTTGTGTTGTTCTTGTTTATTTGTGTTGTGTATTCGCATAGAGTATTCCATCTCCATGATGTTCTACTCTATGACTTGGTTTTTTGTTTTTGTTTGATGGTTTAATTGGAATGTTCATCATTCCAATTATTCCATAATTGTGTGTTGGTGTTTCCTGTTTTTTGTTTAATGTTTGTGTTGTGTTTTTGTGTGTGTTCTTTTTGTGTATGCATTGTTCCGTGTTGTCCTCAATCATAGGCTGTAGTGGAGCGGGCGAGGCTGTCCCATTTCTCCCTGATTTTGCAGGTGTTGCTAAACGCATTGTGGTCCGTCTCTGATAGTTCTTCGTGCGTGCAGTTGCAGCACTGCGGTGGGACTCCTGCTTTTCTGTCCGGGCAGTCTGCCCGCAGGTGTAGTCCTCCGCAGTGACTGCATCTGTCCGCACTTTCCATACAAAATTTTTTACCATGTCCAAAGTTGAGGCACCTCGTGCACTGTATGAGGGGGGTCTGATCTTCGACCCTCACCCTCTCCATTCCTATGTACAGGTGCCCCTTCTCTGTTATTTTCTTCCAATATTCCGGTTTGAGCTGTACTATGACATGGCACTTCTCTGTGTTTCTCGTTCTTCTTCTATATTTGATCCTAAAATCGTCGTCATCCTGTTCGGTCATACAAATATCCGGGTTTTGATTTTTTACAGCCGTTATTATTTCTCCATCGGTCAATTTGTATTTTACCTCCTTTATGATGATAAGTGGGTTTTTGTTCTTCACTTTTTCTGCCTCCAATTCTTCGCTTTCCTCTATCCTTTTTTTAATTCTCTCAGTCTCTTGTCTCTCTTTACAGCTTAGTATGATCCTTTGATCTTTGACTTTTCTGATTCTTTCAATTTGAATCCCGTTCTTTTCCGGTTTTAGGATCTCCTTTGTCTTATCGATCACGTCCTGTGCCATGTCATTCCGGTTTTTGGATGCAATGAGTAATGAGTGCATCGTCTTTGGCCTTTGATGTTTTTTGCCTTTAGTTACCTCTGCATATGTATTCGTCCCCTGTGTTCCCACTGGTACTGTGCTTTCTCCTGGTGTTTCTCTTTCTAAAATTTCACTCTTCATCTCACATATCTTTCTTTCAATCCCTTCCTTGCTCTCTTTTATTTTCTTTCTAATATTCATTTCCATTTCTTCCACTCTTTCTATCGTTCTAGTGTTGTCATTCTGTTTCTCCCTGCCTTCCTTTCTCTCATCGATCTTCCGCATTATCTCCTTTTGTCCTTTCTCAACATTCATACCTATCTCTTTTATTTCTTGAATCATACTTCCCTCATACATGCTCATTCTTGTTTTTATTATTTGACCCAGGTCCTCATCCTTTCCTATTACTCTTCCTTTCTCTTCTTTCTTCCTTTCATTCATTTTTTCCCCAATCTTTCTATCCAGGTCAATGACCTCCGCCGTAAGGTTTTCCTCCACCTGGTCCAGTTTGTTGACTACTGAGGCTAATATTTGGGAGTTTACCTTTTCGGGGATGCTCGATAACCTGGATATTTTCTCTTCCAAGCTTCCCATTCTCATCTCCATTTGCGTCACCACCTTTCCTCTCAACCATCGTCTACCCTGTTGACGATGATGGTGGCGAGGGTTGTCTCTGTCCCGGGTTTCGTCGGTGTTTATACACTTCCATGACATCCTCTCGCCACATGTTCCCGGTACAACTCTACTTCCAGATCTATCTATCTTTCTCCTATATAATGCTGTCCAGACTTATTTTTTATCGCATATACTACATTGCCCTCTATTGAGTCTTCCCTTTTTACTCCTTTCCTCTGCGGTCTTTCTTTTTCCTTACTCTCTCCTTTCATCTCTCCCTCTTTTACATCTTCTATTGCGTTTTTTATTCCTTCCATTCTTCCTTCTAATCTCTTTACTCCTTCCATATACTGCTCTTTGTTCTCGCTCTCATGTTTCTTCAATATTTCTATCATTCTATCTCTTTCATTCTCATACTTACTTTCCTTTTCTATCTGTCCATTCTTCACACTTTCTTCAATCGCCTCTAGCTTTTTTATTATCGTTGCTGTCGCCATTTCTTGGTCTTTCAACGATCTGTCTGCCATCCTATCGAACAATTTTTCCTTTCCCTTGATGACTCCCTCCATCTTGTAATCCAACATTCTCAAGTACTTGGTTGTGACCGATTCGTCGTCCTCCCTTCTTCTGTTCTTCTCCTCTCTTCGTTCAGTTTCCGCTTTCCGTTGTTGGTCCATTTTTTCATTCAGATCTTCCATCCTTTCACTCATCCTCATCATCATTCCTTCCATTTGTTCTTTCAGTTCTTTCCTATCCCTTGACACTATGACCTCTTGTGTATTTTTAGCAATTAGCCTGCTTATTTCCATTATGATGACCAGTCCCGCCTGCGACGCTGTTTCCAAATTTTCTTTTACGTCCCTTCTCATGGCGCTGTATATTTGTTTGGGTATAGTTCCCAGCACGTCCATGAGTTTGCAGATCAATTCGCTCATTTTTGGATCGTTGCATTCTGCTACCTCTCTCTTATATTTTTCCAGTCTGGGTGGGGAGTATGTGTTTATTCTCGTTGCTTTTTCCCCTGGCGGCAACTTCTGATTTATTATTCATCTTGTTTATGGACTATTTGTTCTCTTAAATAGTGGGGACAAGGTTTGTTTTGTTGTTTTTGTTGATTTGTGTTATGTTATTGTATGTTTAATGTTTCTCTGTTTTTTGTTATAGGTGCTGTCGTCCTATTGCAGATCAACTGCTGAGTTCTACTTTCGGCGTGTTAGTGAGTAGTGTTTGTTTTTGTGTGTTTGTGTGTGCGTGTGTGTGTTTGTGCGTGTGCTTATTTGTATGTGTGTTGTGTTTAGATAAAGCAGAGCCTAGCTCTATGCGTCATTTATATATTGAGTTTGTCCTAACCTACGACGTGTCCCAATAGGGGTGCACTGTCAACTTATTCTAATTTATAACAATAATATATGTATAAAAGTCGATTAAATAGTGACCCAATAAATGTTTTGGGTGCACTGTTGTGTGTAGGTAGTTATAAAACTACCGTAAGGGTCAAGGAAATTTAATGAAAGTTCTAATAATTCCTTTATTTTCAAGGAATTTGGTTAAAGTAGTTTATTGTCAAAATTTTTCCTTAAAAGTATTATTTTAGTTTTCGTCTTTTTACATATGCTCTTTTACATCAATCTCTATGTTTGTGTATTTTTTCCAGATTTTTTCCGTTAATTTTGACAAAGTTACTGATTTTTTAATGTTTTCCGGATTTTTCTCCGGAAAATCCGGGTCTATAAGGTCGCGTCCCGTGCCGTCCCGTAGTCCTCTTCGAGCTCTATCTCCCGATGCCTCTCTTGTCTTTCTACGATGGGTAGTTTCGGAGATATTCCTTGGCCAAAATCGCCAAAAAACTCGGCCCGAAAGGGACTCTCCGAAACTATCAGTCGTGTGGAACGGGGATTTTTTAGGGATGGATGGGGGAGGTCCTGCCGCACCTATTTCCGGGGTCAGTTGGTATTTTCCCTCGACCTTGAGATAGGGGTGTTTCACCCTATGGGTCTGGTAGGGCTTAGCAGGGGGTAGTAGGTTTTGAAAACCCCGTTCCTCTGCGACCAGTGGTACGGCTGCTACAGCCCCTCAAAGTTTTGGGATAAGCTTATCCCACTGACTTTGGAGGGCTATATCTCCGGTCCTGTTGGCCGCACGAAGTCGGGGCTTGATCTGTAATCTTTGAATCCCATTAACCCACACTGGGTCCGCGTTTTGTTCTATCTATAAGGAAGGCTCATGCCAAACAAGTGGGTACATTAATAGGCTAGTGATGATTTAGTTCTACCTTCTTCATATCTAACCATTCGGTGAGGCTACGATACCTGTCTTCAAATAAGTCAAATTCACTTACATACTTTGTCGCGGCCCTAACGAGTGCCTATCACAAATTTGTGGATTAACGTACTAACGTGCCTTCTTTAGCACGGTAGAACTCGAGACTATAAATTTATGGTCAGCCATCCTGTGACCGGCTTTTATGAAAATTGCTTAACCTGCGCATTGCAGACCCAACGCACTCACCATTGCTCTATTGAGTCTATTGACGCTAACATCGTTGTTTTTAATTGTTATTGTTGTTTAAGCGATATGATGGTAATAAAATAACTGTCGTAAAATTTCAAACCTTTAATTTTGCTATTGATTCTGTTAAGCTAAAAATTTGAATAGTTCACTAAACCTCTATTAAAGTTGTATGGAGATTAATACTCGTATGTTGTGACATTTACTCAAGTAATTATTAAAACATCGAATTTCCGTTCCGGTTATAAATATTAACCGCCCGACTTTAATAGAAGTTCAGTGAATTAAAAAGAAATACTTATAATGGGTATACCGAATTCGTTCCTATTTAAGTTGATTTAGATATTAATTTTTATATAGTAAATCTACGTAGGTACCTAACCTAGTTAGCTTTATGGCTGTTATTTTAAACAATGACGTCATAGATCGGATTTGATTGATTAATTTAAACGTTATTGATAAATCACGTTTTATATGCACGATATTAGTGCATCGATCTTTGGCAATCGATAGATACTATCAAAATTATGATTGATGGGATATAAGCATTATCGACAATTCAATTGTTTCAAGGGCACAATACTAAAGTATTATATTATAAAAGTATATTATTTTTTACTACATAGATATAGAGTTCATTTTTGTAATCTGGGTTCTGTATCTCAAAAGGAAAAAACCGAAATCCTTATCTCGTCCATTTATCTGTACATCCGTCAGCCTAGACATGCATTTGTATCAAATAATACCAATTCTTTAATTTTAAGATAAGGGAAATATACTTTTTTTTTTTTTAATTTTAAGATAAATTATGTTAGTTATAGAATGAGAAAGAAATCTCCATCTGATTAATTTACGAAACTAGCGTTAATAGTATACAGGAAATCGATTTTAATTATTTGGTTTACAGAAAAACTATGAAGAATTCTTTAGTACTTTTAAATTTGTTACGAACCCTTCGGTAAGCAATTCCGACTCTTACTTGATAAGGTTTTATTTTCACAATCTCAATAAGAACATCCGACGCAACTGTTTCACTCAATGTACATATTAAAAGTTGTTGTGCTACCATACTCTTTTTTAGTAATATTTGCTTCAAGATGAATAACAAATGCATTTAGATTGAATGAAGAAAAATATTTTTAGGTTATTTTTCTTAATTCACATAAACTAGTTTAAGATGAGTAAAAAAATGGGACGAGACGTCATAGGATGAATACGGAACAACCCCATGTTTCAATATTAATTTTGCCCAAAAATCATAAAAAGTAAAATTAAAGAAGACCTAAATTTGAAATAAAGTAGAGTGATGAATTCACATCCTTATGATAAGTGCATTTGATCATAAGCAGCTGCATTGAGTCATGATGGATGAGAAAGAGCCGGGTTTATATCGAATTTACAGTTTTACCACTCGGTCTGTTAAGCGCTTGCAAAATTCTACTTTTATGTAAAGGAGTTAAAGTATAAATTACGGTGCTCTCAAAAGAACATTTTTGAAAAATGAGCTAATTCGGATTCTGCCTGCTTGCGATAGGATTTAATAATATTGAAATATTATCGCTATACGATATGGAGAGAAAAGCGGTTATTATGTGTTAAATATAGTGGAAGTTACATAAAAAGAGTCTTACTATTATGTGTGTTGCGCGATTTCTTATTCAATTTTTAAACGATTTTGATAAATATTCTTTTTATGTTTAAATTGACTAAAAACCATCTCATAAAATTCAGTGGAATTAGAAATATTTTTACGAGGAGTGGGAAGAGTAGAGATATTTCTTTCGTTTTTCGAAATAATGACTCGTTAATGTGTGGCGTATAAATTTTATATAAAACTTATAAATTTTATATAGTATATATTGTAATAACCGTTCCAGGGAGTCAAACTGCCACCTTGT